TAAGAAATAAAATATCATTTTTAAGAGTTTTATTGGGATATGACATGAAGTCGGAAATGATCAAATTTACTCTAACGTACGCCCTTCAGGGGTTATAGAATTTGATAATGTAACTAGCTTCATGTCATATTGCAATGAAACTTGAATAAAAATGATATCTTTATTTCTTGATGTGAAATGCCATTTTTCAAACATACATGTATATGCATGCAGCCATAATAGTGTTTTAAAAAAATAAAATGATTTTCATATTAAATACCATACCAAATAATGTACTTCCATTTACCCAAATAAAAATTACAATGGGAAGTTTCAATTAATACATGTAATTAGCCGACAAAATTTCTGGATTACTGATTATAGGTAAGGTTATAGTAGATTTTACCTTTGTCTCTTGGCATCATCATCTTCTGCACGCCTGGCTGCTTCTCGAGCATCCCCAGCAACACGAATGTTAGTCACCAACTCATTGCCATCTTGCTTTAACTTTGTTAATCGCAGTCGACTCTGTTCAACTTGTTTTCTACTCTTGCTAAGTTCTTCTTTTACCTCTTTCTTTTCATTCAGGTATCCTCACCTAGTTCAGCTCTGTAATTAAATAATTTAATTATGAGTATATAAGACATATTATATCAAGATATCATTTCAATTAGCTTTTATTATGGAATAAATTTTTAAAAATTATATTTAAAAAATATAAATGCTCTTATCCCTTTTTTTTGCTGTTTTTTTTTCAGGTCTGGTACAATCACTAGATTTAGCTACGTAGCTTAAATTACCTACACAGCTTTATTTAGCTACCAAATCAAACTTTTTTTCTTAAATTAACATTTTTCTCAGGATGCATGTGCACAAAGTTGTGAATCTGATGCAGTATAATTTTCAACATTAAACTCATCTGGAAACAATTCATGAAAAATTACTCTTGAAGATGTTTTTTCTGCATAATTGCAGTCAAATTTTTCAAAGTTTTGGGCTATATACAACAGTTAATTAATTTGTGACCAAACAGTTACTTCTTGAGTGCAATAAGGCCAAAGTTTTTTTTTCTCTTGGTTTACGATTCCGCCGACCCTATTTTTCCCTATTTACAAAAATAAAAATAATGTGTTTGACTCTTGAAACTGGATTCTTAATCCAAAATTTTCTCGACCAAATGACTGTTTTTATAATTTACAACACATCTTAAACATTCTAATGACCTCAACAAATACAGACTGTCAAACCACATGGGAGGACAGTCCAAGGATCAACCTAGGGGGCGAATACTCACTTACAGACTGTTTCTAATTACTAATGACCAATGCATCGAATACTGCGTCGGAACTCCTCTAGATTTTACACTTCCAGGTATGAAAAAGTCCATCGTTACAAGTTATACACAACAAGACGCAAAACTGCTGGACAGCTATCGATGTGACGCCAAAGATGTTGGAGAAGATTTTTGATCTTTTTATTTTCAAATAATTAATTCATGCTGTGAATGCAGACATAGTTTTACTGTTAAATTGTGAAGTTATTATACTTCTCTGTAACCACTTAAACTTCGTTCACACATGGTCACCGATTTCATGAAACTTCAAGCTTAGTTGACACCAGAAACAAATATCAAACAAAATTTCGTTGCTATGTGTCTCGGTTGCTATGGCAACACTTTTATTAGAAAAAGAATTTTAGCCACTTGAAATCTTGACTGTGGCTTAAGAGAAATTAATAAAATTATTCCTATGCCAAATGCCTAGAAATCTAAAGAACAAGAGATAATGTTAGAAGTGGTAACCAAGGGTACATTTGGAATGTACTAAAATATGTAAATATGCTGAAAAAAAATGTTTGATAAACAATGGTAGGTGTTACACAACTAAGAAACTTTTACATTTTAATAGCAGTACATAGAAAATTTTACCTTAATGTATATAATGTCAATGAATATTATTTATAAATGACTTTTTGCCATGGTAACACAGTGTTATATACCAGTAACTAATTGGGTTAATGCTACTGTCTTGAGGAAATTCATGAAAACTCTTGGCAAAATGCATCCTTAGGACCTTACAACACCAAAACCATAAGAAAAATTGGGTATAATTGCTACTTAGCAGTGTTACCATGGAAACAAAGTACCAGTGCTTAAAAGTGAACTAATGTTCGCTGCATTAAGAAAAATTGCCATATACCCAAGAAACAAATTTATCAGCTTGAAGATATCTGTTAGAACTGAATTGAATTATAGTTGATAAAATGTGTGCTATGGTTACGCGCGGGAAAATGTTCGAATTTCAAAACTTCTAACTAAATTAAACTTTGTGTGCCAACTTCTTGCATCCACTTAGAACTTTGGGTCAAAATTAAAAGTTGGTGGCTGATAATAAATATCAATCATAAAAGTTTTTGTGAAAGCAATCCATCACTTTAAAAACTTTTTCATAAGTAAAGGACAGAAAATATTTTTCAGGTTTTTCATAATTTTCTGCTTTATTTACCTATAGCAACGCTCTATTTAAAGAATAATTAATTTTTTATGAAAAGCTGATTCAAAATTTTACCTGTATTGCGTGTAAATTATTTGGCTATTTTAGAATAGTTTCTTTTTTTAGACAAAGGAAAATTATGGCTGATATTTTTTTTAAAAGGTTTGATAAAAACAACCTAGGGCATAGATAGTAAAAACATTGCCTCTTTTAAACACTTTTTAACCAAAAAATGCATCTCTATTGTTTGGATAGCTGTCCCTCACTGGAAGTGTGATGAGGCATGACTAAGTGTGATTGCCTTGCATTGTGCTGACATTATTGTTAATATTGCAGGGTTATTTCCATTATTTCCTCATTTGACTATTGCTAACCAAGGGTTTCTGATTTCCCATTATTTGGCATACAGTGTTGATAGAAGTTGTTTTTTTTTTCGGTTGCTTCAAAGCTAACCAAGGGTTTCTGATACACTACTCTCCTCATAATCCCAATTGTGTTTTGTAAATTGTTTATTTCCGTTCGGGATATTTATACACCCGGTGGAAATAAAAATTGTTTTATTGTAAATGACGTTAAGACAACCGTTCGAACAATATTTCGACTTTTTAATCTCGGAAATAAAAAACGCTATTAAACAACATATCTGTAAGACAACATGCAATTCGTACAATAGCGATAATGTCATCCAAAACATTAAATTATTGCTTATTAATTATATATTGAAGCTTCAGATTTGTACTCTAAATATAAAAAACAACTCAATTATTGCTTATTAATTAATCTATGAAGATATAAACTTTGAATTATAGTTAAACACGCATCTTTATGTGTGTCGATACGACGCAATCTGTGCGTCCTGTAAATTTCAAAACTTCGAAAACAACTAAATTTCTTTGAGGGTATATGCCAAGGGTTCATGAGGAGAGTAGCGTATCAGAAAAGTTTGTAGTGAAAGCAATCCATCACTTTGACTGGTAAAAAACTTTTTCATAAGTGGAAAGGCTGATTAGAGAATAATTAATAGCTGATTCACTTAATTTTACCGTATAGCTTTATTTACCTATATAATATAGCTTTATTTAGCTATTTTAGAATAAGTTTCGTTCTATGAAAAGCAGACAAAAATATGTATGGCTGATATTTTTTTTAAAAGGTTTGATAAAAACAACGGACTGAAAAACATTGCCTCTTTTAAAATTTTTAACCAAAAAATGCATTTATCCTGTTTGATAGCTGTTTCACTGGATGCTAAAATGATTAGGCATGATAAGTGTGAAGCATTGTGAATTATTACACTTGTTAATTGTTAAAGCAGGGTTATTTCCATTATTTCCTCATGTCTGTCAAAACGAAAAGGGTTTCTGATAAACATAACTTGTTACATGAAAGCTCTTCATGTTAAAGTAGTGCTGGATTCGGTACACCCGGCTCGACCAATCAGCAATTGTAAATACGTTATTTCCGTTTAATTTCTTGTTTTGCTCAAAAAAAAACTTGCTTGCCACTTGCAACATGCAACGCGATTAGTGTCAGTTCCAAAAATATCAAATATCGAGAATGCATTATATTTGAGTTTTTGTTTAAATATAAAAAACATTTCAATTATTGCTTATTAATTATTCTTGAAATGTGCGATATTACCGGTTAACCGGTGTATCCCGATTTTTTTCTTCACAATACGTATCGCGGTATTTTTTTGTGAATACCGGTTCGGGTTTGATATGCTATAAATTGTTATAAAAAGAGTTATTTGCCCTTTTCAAGGTAAAATATGGCGGCAAGTGACGTGAAGTGTGATCTGAAATGAGAGACATATCTCTGTCAGAAACGAAGAGACAACTGTTACATGAAACCCTTTCATGTTAAAGCCGAATCTGAATATGACAACTTAATTTATCAAGTTGTGTCACAAAAAACTTAGCTTGCCACTTGCGCTGACACAACGCAACCAGGCAGTTGCAATATCAACTCGAGAAAACATGTAATTTGAGTTTGTGTTTTCATTTGACATTGACGAAAAGCAAAATTTATTTTAAAAAATTATATTGTGATATATTGCAATACAAAATATTATATTGCAATATATCGCGATACGATTTTTCAGTCGCGATACCCAGTTCTATTTGTGAAACACTATAAGCCCGGCGGCAACAATGTTCAAAATATCTATTTTTAGCATATTGGTCACAGGCAAGTTCACAAGGTCATTGACCTTGGTGTTGTTTGAAAGAACTTTATCGATAGAGTATGCATACCAAATATGAATTTCCTATCTCCTACGGTTCAAAAGTTATGGAAAAGTGAAAAAAGATTTTTCTAGCATATGGGTCTTAGTCAAGGTCACAAGGTCATTGACCTTTATGTCATTTGAAAGGACTTTATCAATCGAGTAAGTATACCAAATAAGAAGTCCCTATCTCCTATGGTTCAAAAGTTATGACAAACAGTGGAAAAAAACTATTTTTAACATATAGGTCACAGTCAAAGTCACAAGGTCATTGACCTTGATGTCATTTGAAAGGACTCTATTAGTGGAGTAAGAATATCAAATATGAAATCCATATCTTCTATGGTTCAAAAGTTATGACAAACAGTGGAAAAAACTATTTTAGCATATAGGTCACAGTCAATGTCACAAGGTCATTGACCTAGATGTCATTTGAAAGGACTTTATTTATGGACTAAGTATACCAAATACGAAGTCCGTATCTCCTATGGTTCAAAAGTTATGACAAACAGTGGAAAAAACTATTTTTAGCATATAGGTCACAGTCAAGGTCAGAAGGTCATTGACCTTGATGTCACTTGAAAGGACTTAATTAGTTGAGTATGCATACCAAATATGAAGTCTGTATCTCTTATGGTTCAAAAGTTATGGTGAAGGTTAAAGTTGACAACAGACAAAAAAACAAACAGACAAACAGATAAACAGACAAACAGACAGGACAAAAACAATATACGCCCGGGACCTATCCATCAGGGTGCATAAAAATGGGAGAGGGCTACATTATTGCAGCTATCCTCCAGTATGACCAGGATGTCACAAAGCTCACAAGTTTTCTACCAGCAGCTAGTATCTAAAGAGTAGTCTATGAAATAAGACTACAATGAAACTACTACCTGTCTTCTCCACGGAAGATCTTTAACACCATAGTCATATCTTATTTCCACACCAATGCCTATCTTCATTGCTGCAAAGAGTCCGAGATGTGGTGTTCCATTAACTGGTATACACTTCATCACAGCATTTTGACGATCATCTCTTGGGCCAGCATCATTTGCAAATCTACATTTACGAGATGAATTTGTTGCATCCAAGCTGTTACACAAGAAAAAACAAAACTAATTATTAATTTCAAACCCCTAATTTTTAGTACTGCTTTATTCCTGCAACTATCACTGATATTGGCTGAATATATAACAAGATGTCTATGAGCCAATGCTCACTTGAAATAATCCAGCTCTGAAGTGAATATACACTATGCAAATATATAAAATGTATGAAAGCAAATTTCAAAGTGTCACAGGAATTTTGCATTTATTTAATAACTTATCTGCTAGGCCAAATCATAAGATTATTATAATAATATATATTATGCTATGGAAATTGGGAAATTGAAACCTTTTTGGGGGGTCAAGGCAGCTGTTTTTGCATTGGGAACGGGGCCGAATATCTGCCCCAGTTTTAGAGAATCTAGAGCCCTAGTAGAGCATTTAAAATTGTCAAAGAATAACAGACTCTTGGTGGCCAAAAATAACATTTGTACTTACCAATATCTTTTACTGTCCCAGGTAAAGAAGTAAATGTAACTTCCTTTGTGAGAAGGATACATTTTCTCACGAGCAAGCCCTTTTGTCCTACTGATAAGGTCTCCGGCATATTCTAAAATGAACTCTCCTTGTTGGAACTCCTTTCCAGCATAAAGACCCTTTCCTGTTTATAAAATAAGAAAGAAGACAAATCATTTAATGATTGCTTTCAAGTTAAGTGTGAAGTATTCGTGTGTAAATCACACAGACCTCTCATATATGCATATTTCATGAAGCGTGCTAGTGCTTGGAAATGAAAAATATGCCTATGTACAAGTCTGTGTGGTTCACATTAAACTTAATAAGAGGCCCATGGGCCAATCGCTCACCTGGGAAGCTTTGACCATTCTATTCTTTACTAGATTTCCCACTTGTAATACATATTCTTACCCTACCCAACCCCACTCAATTTTGGCCCCACCCTAGCCCCGGGGGTCATGATTTGAACAAACTTGAATCTACACTACCTGAGGATAATTATACATAAGTTTCATCTTTCCTGTCTCAATGGCTCTTAAGAAGATTTATAAAGATTTTTCCAATCTATTCCTGTGTAAAACTTTGATCGGCCATTTTTGCTGGCCCCACCCTTGCCCTGGGGGTCATAATTTGAACAAATTTGAATATATACTACCTGAGGATGATTCTACATGAGTCTCATCTTTCATTGCCCAGTGGTTCTTGAGAAGAAGATTTTAAAGAGTTTTCCTATATATTCCTCTGTAAAATTTGGGTCAGATTTTTTGCCCCACCCTAGCCCCTGGGGTCATGATTTGAACAAATTTGAATCTACACTACCTGAAGATGATTCCACATGAGTGTCATCTTTCCTTGTTTTCCAGTGTATTCTTGAGAAAAAGATTTTTAAAGAGTTTTCCTATATATTCCTCTTATGCAATACTTTGGTTGGCCATTTTGGCCCCACCCTTGCCCCAGGGGTCTTGATTTGAACAAACTTGAATCTACACTTCCTGAGTATGCTTCAACATGAGTGTCATCTTTCCCGGCCCAGTGGTTTTTGAGAAGAAGATATTTAAAGAGTTTTCCTATATATTCCTATGAAAAACTTGGGTCAGCCATTTTGACCCCACCCTTGCCTCGGGGGTAATGATTTGAACAAACTCGAATCTACACTACCTGAGGATGATTCCACAATAGTTTCATCTTTCCTGGCCCAGTGGTTCTTGAGAAGAAGATTTTTTAAAATTAATTGTCATTAATTTTTCTCCAATTCATAATTATCTCCCCTTGGAAAAGGTCATTGCCCTTCATTTGAACAAACTTGAATCCCCTTTACCCAAGGATACTTTGTAGCAAGTTTGGTTGAAACTGGCCCAGTGGTTCTTGAGAAGAAGATGAAAATGTGAAAAATTTACGACAACAAGGACGACAACAACAATAACGACTACAATGACGACGGACAAATTTTGAGAAAAGCTCACTTGAGCCTGGTGAGCTAAAAATCACAGCACTGTGTCAGGTCCTATAAATTTAGAATTGTGTGGCTGATGGGTGTTACCTATATGCACCAACTAAGTTTGATGATTCCCAGCCAAATAATACTATAATTATAAATAATAGTCAATATAATCAATATAAATATTGATATAATGACATAAAATTTTAAAAATATGTAATGTTGACCTGCTTTACTGTTGACATATTCTGAGGACCCAAGATGCAACAACTGACAAAGTTTGATGATCCTAATACAAGGAAAACCTAAAAATCAATATCATCAAATTGGACGAATTTAAATAAACGGTTACTCACTCTTCATATTTTCATTAAATTTGAAATATAAAAAGCCATGATTTTTACAGTTAATAGTCTTTACCTCCCAAGAATGCTTCGATATAAGTTTCGGCTTTTCTGGACCAGTGGTTTTTAAGAAGATGATTTTTCTTATTTTATTCAATATGAAACTTGAATTCTTATTGTCGCCCCGCCTTAACCCCAGGGGTTTTGATTTTAATAAGTCAGATTCAATCCTTATGTTTTGGGTTCGAATCCCACTGTTGGATGTGTGGACCCATCATTTCTCCACCTGTGCTTGCATTCTTCCTGTTGAAATTTTTCATATTTAACTCCTCTAAACTTTATTTTTTTTTCTTTGATATGTTTTCTACCTAATTCTGCCCCAGTTGCATGAAGGATATGGAAATATAAATATGATAGGTCACGAGAACCATGCCAGTTTTGCTTTCATTTACAGCCTCGATCATATTGAATAATACAATTCAACAACACATGTTTGTTCATTTTATTTCATCACATGATAATGACAAGATTTTATGACGAAGTCAGCTTAAAATATACCGTAAGCGAGCCAAAAAAACTTTAAAATGAAACTTTTGTAGAAAAGTGGTAGACTTACGAATAAAATCGGTAGGCGGGAGATGGAGTGAAAAAAGGGCCCGCCTAAATCGGTAGAGTTAATATGTATGACTAATGGGTTAAAAATTTGTTACCGAAACAAGTGCCAAAGTTTTAACAAAGTTTTGAAAATGTAACTTGTCTATTATCCAATTTCAATTTCAGCTTCAAGCTGAGCCTCATATTTTGCATATATCAATTATTAACTACTAAGGACACGTTTGCTTAAAGAAATTTTTCTTGTTCATTAAAATTTCTGAAGTATAAGAATGACATTTAAAGAATTCCTTGATAAAAAGTTAGACACCGGATGAGATAACCAGCCCCCTTTTTGAAATTTAAAACCAGAGACCTCAGAGTGGGATTAAACGATATATCCTGACTAATATGCCACCATTTTGACTTCATATCTACTATACCACTAAATCTAATTTAAACTATAGAATGTCTTTACTGTTCATTTTTCTCCTGATTTTTAGTGAAATTCACTTAGTTTGTCCATTTCCAGTTATTAGTGACCCTGTATTCAATAAAGACAGTCAAGCTAAACATGTCAACCTTTTGTCTTGAAACAGTGTAATAATATTTTATATATTAACTACCTATCAAAAGCGGTAGCATTGCTTTGTGCAAAAACTTTTTATATTTAGGGCTTATACGGAGAGTTAGGAATTGAATGAAAACATATATTTCATGTCAGATGATATTTTTTAGTTTGAAATTGGGGAAAAACAAAATAATTGATAAATTCTAAATTTTTTGCAAAGACAAAAAGTGAAGATACTTGGAAAAACCATTTTGTTTGACAAAAAAATTATAAAAATTCAAAGTATTTTTCATGCTCCTCATTTCTTTGATATTGGGTGCTTATTTTTAACCTTTCGATTATGTGATCTTTAGCCACATACTTGCCTAAACTCGTATAATTTGAATGAAACTATTAGTTGTGGAACACAACAAATGAAGAAATAGTGTGTTTAATCGAAGTTAATTCAACAATCTGAGAAATATATTCCTAAATCTTTCGTTCAAAAATTTTTTTACAATCGGCAACTATCACGTTTTGCGATCAGGCAACCTTGACGTGAAAACAAAGTTTGAGATTTCTAGGAACGAATACAACATTACAATTGTATAAAACTTAATGTACAATTGTTTCAATTTGTTTTTTAATAGAAGTTGTGTCAAACATGTATTAAAGCTTGAAAGGAAGATATGACATTTTGGAATTTAAAATGCTGCATATTGATATATATATTTTTAATGGCCGTCAGGAATGTTGAATGAAATTTATAGTAACCAATGTTATCACTGGTTATATTGAGCTGTTATAACATTTGTGTTGTTAAATAGGTGCTTGAATTACATGTACACATCAAAAGGTGTACAAAAAAAGCGTTTTCAAAAGCTTTAGGTTCAAGTCAAAATGATATCTTTTATTTTATGATTGAATGGCTTCAAATTGGTATACCCAAGCGAGCCAAAAAAACTTTAATAAAACTTTTCAGTAGAAATTGTGGTAGACTTACGAAAAAATTGGTAGGAGAAAAGATCTTAGGGCTGCAATTTGAAAAATGGGTTGGTTTTGTTAAATATGGTCAAGGAGTTAATATGTATGACTAATGGATTACATCATTAAAATTTGTTAGTTCAAACAAGTGCCACACTGATTTAAACACATGTAAACTGTTTTGAAATTGGAAACTTGAGCAGCGAATGTGTAACTGCATTTTTACCACAAGGGGGATTAACTCAATTTCAATTTCAGCTTCTTAGCTTTGAAACATCATTATTTATGTCATATATTTTCTTTATTGCATAATAAATTAAAATCGTTTGTTCAATAATTTTTCTTGCCCATTAAATATGTGTTCAGGAAGTTTTCTGGCTAGGACTGATATTACTGGTACAACCACATTCTTTTATTCCTCACTAGAATTCCAATTGAAAAAAAGCTGTATTGCACAGCTAAAACCTAAATTGAAGAAATTCAGTTTGCCGGTTTGGGTTATAGGAGGAAACATGTTTAAAAATTTTAAAAGTTAAGTGAACTTATGGAAAATAAAAAATGGATAGCCTGAAACGTGATGTCTGTTTTATCTGTTCATCCCAAAACACACATTTATAATAAAACCACCATTTTGACTTCATATCTACTACTCATATTTTTAATTTATAAATCTAATGTAAACTGGCGAATAGAATGTCTTAAAAATTTTACTGACGTCAAATAGGATTTTTAACCCCTGATTTTTATCGTGAAATCATGTTTAGTATGGACCGGGTTCAACGAGTTATTAGCCTGACCATGTATTTGTAATGTAATAAAAACAGTCAAGCTAAACATGTCGAATGTAAACATGGCAGGTAAATTTGAACAAGGCTGGAGAACTTTATTGGATTGTCGAAACAGTTTTTTAATAAGCATTATATATGGAACTACCTTTATCGTTTTAACTTCAAAATATGGATACCTCCATTGCTTTGCCATATTGCAAGTATATGGGACGTATTCTAACTGTGGTGAGGGCTTATACGGAGACACAGTTAGGTTATTCTAACTAGGGAATGCAAAATCTGATGTCATGACAAACTTTTTTAGTTTTTATGAGCAAATATGTAATTTTTTTTCTGTTTCTTTGTTAATTATAAGACAAAAAGTTGTCTTTAGAATAAACTTGATGAAATTTTATTTTTAGTTTGTTACATAAATGATAAATGCTATAAAGAAATGGAATTTTGTATTTG